GAGTACCCGGTGGACACGGTGGTCTGGGACTGGGAGTGGCACGCGAGTACCCGGTGGACACGGTGGTCTGGGACTGGGAGTGACACGCGAGTACCCGGTGGACACGGTGGACACGGTGGTCTGGGACTGGGAGTGACACGTGAGTACCCGGTAGGACACGGTGGTCTGGGACTGGGAGTGACACGTGAGTACCCGGTGAACAAGGTGGTCTGGGACTGGCAGAGCTCTCAGGAGGAGACACTACTTCCTGGGCAGACAGCTTCCCATGCAAGGTGGCAGCATGCTGGCCTTGAAAAACGGGCAGGGTTTGAGGGGTGCCGAAAAAGCAAAGGGCAAGGGTAAAGGCGGAGAAAGGTGCTGTGGCTGAGGTCATGGGGGGGACAGGTCTGTGGCGCTCAGAGTGCCAGGCTAGAGTGTTGTCATGTTAATGTAACTGGCAGCTGAAACAAGTCACTTTGAAAAAACAGCCAGGAGAGAGAGGATAGGCCGTGTTTCAGGAGGTTCATCTGTGGTGTAAAGCCAACTGTGGCCTGTGCAACCTGCAAAGTGCTCCAAAGACTAACATGATGATAAAGAAGAAGCACGTCTATTCCACATTTTTCTCCCACTCTAAAATCACAAAAGAGACAGGCCGAGTGGTGGAGAGCCTGGTGGAGCCTGTAAGACGAGGCCCTTAGTGCCCTCAGGCCTGGACCTGACCTCACCCCCACGGCGCAGTCACCAGACAACAGCCAGGTCCGTGGGGAAACTGCTACTGTAGGGAGACTCGCACACCTCACAGTGCTCAGCCATGTGAGATTAAATGGGTAGTCTCTGCTCAAGGTCAAAGTTCAGGAGGTCAGGAGAGAATGGGGGACGGAAACAGGAAACGGGGAAGAAGTGGGATACATGATGACACACTGAGGGGATGAGATGAAACAAAATGTACATGAATTACTGAACATACGACAGATGATCTGATCTGTGAACCATCACCCAATTGACAATAAAAAGTAAAAAAAAAAAAAAAAATGCAACAAAGAACCTACGTAGCCCACAAAGTCTAAAGTATTTACTATCTGGTCCTTTACAAGACAAGTTTTCCAAGGCCTGGTATGATGGATGAGTTGGGAGGGGACCTTCCAGTGGCTGAGGCCCAGTCTCAGTTCAGTCCTGAGCCCGCTCAATCCCTCTCGGCCTTAGCAGACACGCCCCCCCCC